TGATCTCAAAACTCTTCGAACGTTTCGATCTTTTTTATTAGGATTCTCGAATCGGCGTAATTCAATGTTAAAAAGGTAGTATTTTCAAAAACCACACTTTAATGTGAGATTTCCTCTTGAATGTTTCCAAAACCTGGGTTGAAAATTTTCGGGCCTAACAAATAGATGGCGCTAGTCTTATTGCATTTACCGCTTTTTCAGTTAGTACTATTCTTCAAAAGAAAACTTTCATGATATTCCACTCATAAATTTGTGAGCTATTGTGCTGAGAGTGACATTACTTGGACAATGGATCAAAAACAATTTCGTTCTTTAAATTTAAGACTGCATTTCGATGGGAAAAAATACCGCTCTTAGAGCGCCTTAAGGATTTTCCTCTAGTGCTTGTGTTTTGTTCGTAAAAAAAGAAAACAGTTTATTTCATCAAGACAACGCACCGTGTCACAAGTCGATCAACAAATGGCAAAATTACATGAATTGTACTTCGAATTGTTCCCACATCCACCGTATTCGCCAGATCTGGCTCCTTGCGACTACTGGTTATCACCAAATAACATAACTTTTGACTCATCACGATTTGCATTTGCATTTGCAATGGCATGAAGATCATCATTAATACATATGCGCTATTTACCGAACGAGGGAAAAACTATGTTACGTTTATGTATCATCCGCGTATTGGTGAACGTTGCAGACTGTTATGATAGTCGAAAGATGGGAGGGAGAACCCGAGTATAGATATTTGTGAGACATTTGAATTGAGTGTTAAACTATCCTCCAATTCATCCAGAAATATATTAGTATTTTGCTCATGTGTCTCATATGTCACACATATGTGTTATATGTGGAATGTGAATCATTACGGTGGGATGTATTTCTGGAATATTTGACTAATCACCTGAATTACTTGGATTTCGATATATCGAAAATATATGACACGTCCTGGCGCTATGACATCATCAGAACGCCACATGAAAGGGATATTAAATGAAACATGTTAATATTCATTGAACATTTCCTGAAAAATCGACATTTCCAAGTACGTGCTAATGGTGTCAATTCATCTATGAAAACCCAACTGAATGAATTACCACAAGGATCTGTTCTCAGCGTAACACTATTTTTAGGTAGCGATCAACCAAATATTAAACAGCTGCAATCCACCAGTAAATGCAAGACTCTACGCAGATGACCTTGTTAGGTTTATGAAAGGTAAGAACATCCACTCGATGCAATGCAACCTACAGAGAGCCCTAAACTCCATTAAAGATTGGTTGGAATCAGTGGGACTACAATTTTCTCCACATGATACCAAATGTATGATCTTTTCCAGGAGGAAAACTGAGCATGAGCCAGAACTGAAACGATATATGCAAAACGGGCTTAACTTCATGAGAACGATGGCAAACAAAAGTTGGGGAGCAGCCTACATATGCTTGGTGAGAATATATATATGGCATTGATACAATCCAATATTGACTACGGGTGTATAACTCAGCTAAAAAATCAGTTTTGAGAGAACTTGATGTCATTCATAACTCAGCACTGGAGCATTCTGAGCCAGTCCCGTACCTAGCCTGCATTGCAAGACCGGTGAACCCTCATTATATCACAGAATTCAATATCTTAGCGTCAGTTATGCAGCTACGATATCTACTGATTAAAGGATCCCAGTTTACCAAAATGTATTCTTCGACCGATTCGAAACGGTGTATAACCAGAAGGAAAATACAGATCTTCCACTCCATGAAAGACTGAATAGATACCTAGATACACTCCAATTCCAATTTCCAGACACCTACCCAAGTGAAACTACCACACCTTCGCCTTGAACAGTAAAGCTACCAGATAGTAACACATTATTAAATCTTTTCAATAAAACCGAAACGAACCAAACAATCATCAAGAAAAACTTCCATCAAATAATGAATCACTCTAGATTATAATGACATATACACAGATGCTTCAAAAACAGAAAACGGAACTGCTGCAGCTTTTACCACCGCGTCTGGATATAACTCCTTGCCACAAGCTCTCTAAGGCCTCCTCAGTTTTCTTGGGAGAGCTAATTGCCATCCTCAAATCATTAGAATATACAAGTCCCTTGTCAATGAAAAAACAGTTATCATTACAGGTTCCCTCAGCGCAATGACTGCAATATCTCAACTCAATCTCTCACATCCGATCCTCATCCTTATTAAAAAAGAACTCCATCATCTTCAACAGCAGAATAAAACGCCTCACTTCGTATGGGTACCATCACACATGCGTATGAAGGGAAACAAAGTAGCCGATCAATTAGCCAGAAATGCAACGGATATTGACGAACTTCACCCAACAACCAAAACTGACCTCAAACAAATATTCAAAGAGATGATTATCAATGCATGGCAAGCTGAATGGAACCTCTACAAGTCAAAATTGACCGAAGTAAAAAATGGAACCTCTCCAAATAAAATTGGCCGAAAAAAAAGACTCAACTGATATTGTTGTGGAATTGGCCGCGGTGGTAGTGCGTCCGACTCACGATCGGAAGGTCGTGTGTTCGATTCATTTAATCTTCCTACCGATTCAGTACTAACTCGTATGAGAGCCAAGTGCTTCCAGAACCAGTTGACTATCCGAAAATATGTCAATTTAATGATATCTACTGTTAATTGTTTAGTGGAAAGGCATCATGAATCAATTCATCTAAAAAATTCGATCAGTATCCTTTCAAGTCCTTTCTGTAGGAACAATTTTAGGCTACTTAGTTGTGCCAATTAAGGGTTTGGGTCTTTGTGGTTCGCCAACCAGTTGTATGGTATATGGTGCCACACTAGACTAGATCTATATCTACTCTTTCATGGGAATGAGTTGAAAGGTTTACAGTGCGTCTTGAAGTGCTGCGAAAACTTTTCCGGGGCTTATCTTTCCTCAGAGAAGGTTGATTGCTCACAAAAGTGGAACATCCAGGAAAGTGACTTTATATCAAAAGCTAAACCGTTTTCGTTCGTCAGGTCTTCAGAGAGAATTTTTGTGCTACAAAATTTATCATATATACTTTTACAGAACATTCTTCATGAATCCCTATTTGTCTTTCTAATGTCCTTGTTGGAAATCGTTAGAGACGCTCTAGAAAACTCCTAGTTGCTTAAATGTTCAGCTCAATTGAACAATCTTTGAACTTATTTTCGCAATTTTCAAGGCTTTTATTTCACCAAAAAGAAATTTGATAGTATCTCTTCTAGACAGTTTTTGCGAACTTGCTTCTCTACTGTTATTATCCCATCAAAACTGGGTATATTTATGGTGAATTCTTTCTCAAAATACGAATGAAAGATTCATTTCAAACTACACCTTATCAATCACAATATTTCACTAGTGGTCTACCATTTCACTACCATAATATGCAATAGTTTTGAATAACATGAAAGATAAAACAAAGTTTGTGATAATCTTTCAGTGAGTGGAAACCAGATCAATTCCAATACTATCTTCGTAGATTTAGATAGATAGAGGAATTGTACTTACTGATTATCTGCAATTCTCTAGTTATCATTGTTATCGCAAATTCAATCTTCTGCTATCATTTTCTTTTCGAATTTCCACATTTTATATATTTTTCACACGCTCGCTGAATGAATTTATTCAAAACACGCCAACCTGATGTGGCCACTGACTTGTTTCATGCCGTACGCAATACACTTCGACTATTTGATTCGACTAGCCGCACCAAATTCAATCATTGCATTTTATATTGATTTGCTGTGATCGATTATATTGTTATTTTGCAGATATCATCGCTGTTTACATAATGAACAAATTTGTGCTTATTAGGTGAAAAGTCGGCCAATTAGAATCAACAAATGCTTGTTAGTGTTCAAATTCCAATTTCGTGATATCCAGATTTGGCGATTTTGGTAGCGACAACAATAACAAATATTTTTAACTTTCTGGGTTTCTATTTATGTAAGTACAAGAAACTATTATCGCTGATGAAATGAAATTGCCATGCTGTTGCGTTGCGTATAACATTGGCAATGAAATCTGACAACACATTACCGCATTACATAGCAAAGTGCGAAGCTTCAAATTATTTCCGAAAAATGAAGACCAGAATAAACGAATGTGATATAAATACGAGACAGCGTCGAGCTGCAGTCAATTCGGATCACAACGCGGTATGTGCTATAATTACAACGTGTGATTGAGGTATAGTGTTAGGTGGTAATTTATGTTATCAAATCAAATAAGTCTGAAACGTATGAAAAAGTAAATATTCCGAAATAGAATATCGATACATGCAGTCGAGCCGCGTTGAAGTCAATCGAGTCTCTTATAACTGAAGAATGGGGAAGAATGACAATAGTCCATTCGGACGGATTCCAAGATAATGGAAAATATACGTTTAATTACTTGTAAGAAACTAAAATGAAAAGAAAATAAGTCACAAACAACATTTTTCAGTAAATAACATGTTTTTTATTCAAAAATATAAACGAAATCAACATTTATTCAGAACTAACGACGTAACAATGAAAAAAATAATATTTAGGCATGGACACATGCCACTTTTCACCTGTATCAGGTGTCTATTGGTGGGTCATCCACAAATTCGTCATCGCTCTCTTCAGGTTGTTCGGCAAATATTAATTGTTGATAAAATACTCTGGCTTCTGCTCTCTGAAGGAATGCAGTCAGATCTTGCAAATCCTTCTATTTGAGTTTTTTGACGGGGATTGGGCACTGACGAAGTTTTGTCAAACCTTCCTCTTCATTTCTCTGATTCTTTTTCTTTCTTTGGTTCTTTGTAAGTGGTTTTCGGTCAAATTTAGAACTAGCATAAAGACCACAATATGTGGTTTTGTGGAACACCAAGCGGGGATTCTCATTACACAACTTCAGCATCCTGAGTCGGGAAGGGGCACTTCTTTGGATAAAGCGGCGATAAAAATGAAATCCAATTTTGAAATACAAACTTTTTGCCGCAGTCAATCACTTCGAATAGTGTAGGTTTCACCCGGCAATTTCTTAATTCTTCTCTCCAGTCATCTGGTACCTTAGTGTATGCTTTATGATTTACGAGGCTCATGTCTCGATCACATTCGAGGTGTGAATGCCCCCTGATCGGGAATATCACTTTCACAGCATCAAAACGGTTCTTTTCAGTGACCAAGTAATGGAGAAACCAAATTACAGTGAAGTTTTTATTTTGTCCTGCGCAGGAATCACAAAAAATTGACAGTTCTTTCACTTCCATGGGCAGGATATTATCAAAGAAGTGATACAGCATAGAACAAACGTCGTCAGCTCCTTTCTTAGCAACAGTTTCATCATAGATGTAAAATACAGATGTTGAATTTGACAGAATATGAACGTTGAAACTAATGAAAGGCAGTTGACGTTTATAGTAAACATCATTGGTAGTAATATTTGGGCATGGTAAGTTTTTTTAAGAACCCATGGCGATACTTTCCATACTGATAGACTTTGCAGCACGTTTGCGGTGATTTCTCTTACGACTGTAAAATTGCTATTTTTTGTTAGATGTAGCTCTTTTTAACGCATTTTTTCTCTAAATCATCGCTTGCCATTTTCCTGGTGTTTTCAGCTAATATAGACTTCAATGTTAGAGTAAGTGAAAATATGTCGGCTTTAAAGGAATCACACGTACTGCACGTGTCTTTGCGTAGATACCCAAATGAAATATTAAAGTTACTTTCAAAAATTTCTCGGAAACATTCGTAGGAAAGGTTATTATCAGCGTTACGATCAGAATACATTTTGTGCAATTTAACGATATTCTGGTCTTCAGACAGATACCTTTTTTTTCGAGTCTGTCATGGAAATAGAAATAGAAATAGTTTCATTCATCACTAAAATTTTCACACATACATAATTACAAGACTAAATACGTGAGAAAACTTATTGGACTAGTCAAAAGTAAAACGCTAAAAGCAAAACAAAAATGTTTGATCTTGAACAAACTTAAAAGAGAAGACTACATGTATAAAATAAAAAACTCCATAATATTGGCATACAATATGTCACTATCATCAATGATAATAATAATGTGAGAAAGTTATATATACATTCAATTATGTGGATATTGATGTTGGTGTCCCACGGGGATCAGTGTTGGGCACTATAATTTTTTTATTATATGTAAATAATATGGAATCCATCTCTACATATGCTCATTTCACACTATATGCAGATGGTTATCTATATCAGATAAAATAGATCAAAATCTACAAACCAAAGGTAACTTAATCCTGGTTCAAGGAAAATTACCTACATTTGAATAATCAAAAAACACGTTTAATAAGATTTCATGCTAGACAAAAAGAAATAGCAAGTGTCAACTTGAGAATTGAAGATGATGAAATTTCTCCGTGCTCTACGGTGAAGTTTTTAGATGTACACTTGGATGAATTTCTCAGCTTTAAAACTCATTGTGGAACAGTTATATAAAAATTGAACTCCATGAATTATCTTCTTAGGAACCTTCGTAATATTTCAGCTGATTATGCAAAATGCAAAATGCAATTGCAAAATGATCTTGAATCATTTGCAGAAATCTTTGGCAATAGTAGCCTATACTTAAATCTCGATAGATGTCACAAAATAACTTTCACCAGAAATAGAAATCCCATTGATTTTCAATATCAAATAGGAAATCACAAAATCAAAACAGTTAATAAAGTACGTGATTTGGGAGTGATAATGGATTCCAAAATGATTTTTAAATCCCACATTGAGAAGACCGTTAATATATGTAATCGTTTATTGGGTTTCATTATAAGAAATACAAGACATTTCAGAAATGCAAAAACTCTTCTTAATCTATATTACTCTTATGTATATAGTCGTTTGAACTTTG